AATTTTGGATTAAGCTCCAATTTAGCTCTCTCTCTCTTTTCTAGTTATGTTATTCCTCTGTTGAACTTAATTATTCTTCGTTTTTTTTTTAATAACTTTTAATAGCTTATCATGACATTGTCAATACCACAAGTTGGAAACGAATTTCTCGAAAGCAAGTTTGGATAATGGGTAAGGAAGAGTATGACACAAGTTAAACATATGAAAAGTCTTTGAAGACTACTTGACTTAGAAGCACGAGTCTAGACGGCAAGAGTCCGTGTCATTTTTGAAAAGTCTGGCAGTGTTCTTTATGTCATTCTGAGCCATTAATGTGTTGTCTTTAAGTTGCATTTGCCTTGTTTCGTCTAGTATATGAGAATCACCAAAACAAGCTTTTAACCAAACACATTCTCTACCAAAAAAAAATGACAAGCATGAGACTCTTTCTTTTGCTTTCTTTCATTGCTCCTCTCATGTTACTTGAAGCATATGGTTTTACAGATGATGAGACGGATAGGCAAGCGTTGCTCGAGTTCAAGTCTCAAGTTTCTCAAGACAAAAGAGTTTTCCTGTCTTCATGGAATCACTCATTCCCTCTCTGCAACTGGTATGGGGTTACATGTGGACGCAAACACAAGAGAGTTGTTGGTCTGGAGCTCGGAGGATTGCAGTTAGGAGGAGTGATCTCACCAACTATTGGTAATCTTTCGTTTCTCAGATCACTTAATCTCTCAGATAACTCTTTTGGTGGTACCATCCCTCCAGAGGTGGGAAACTTGTTTAGACTTGAACACTTGTCTATGCGCTCAAATGTTTTGGAAGGAGAAATTCCATCTAGTCTGTCTAACTGCTCTAGATTGTTGACCTTTAGTTTAGCTTCAAATAATCTTGGAGAAAGTATTCCTTCAGAACTAGGCTCATTGACGAACCTTGTTGGCGTATATCTTAGTAAAAACAATCTGAAAGGAAAGCTCCCTCAATCTCTAGGAAACTTGACATCCGTTAAAGAACTCGACGTTGTATATAACCATATAGAAGGAGAAGTTCCAGAGAGTGTTGGTAGATTGGGTCAAATAGTGGGTCTTGGCTTAGGAATGAACGAATTTTCAGGCAGTTTTCCTCCTTGCATCTACAATTTATCCTTACTTGAAGAGTTAGTCAATTTGGGGAATGAATTCGCTGGTAGCCTGCGGCATGGTTTTTGTTAATCTCCTACCAAACCTTGGAGGGTTATCTATGGCAAACAATTATTTCACAGGAGCCATTCCAACAACACTTGCCAATATCTCTACTCTAGAAAAATTGGGAATCAATGACAACAATCTGACAGGAAGCATTCCACCAAACTTTGGAAAAGTACGGAATTTGCAATTCCTATCACTTGGTGCTAATTCTTTGGGAAGTTACTCTTTTGGAGATCTTGATTTTCTTGCTTCTTTGACTAACTGCACCAAACTAGAGCACTTGATGTTTTATCAAAATAGGTTGGGGGGTGTCTTGCCTACCTCCATTGCCAATCTGTCCAAGACCCTCGTCAGATTAGAGATTGCAGAAAATCTAATCTCTGGAACCATTCCTCATGACATTGGGAATCTCATAGGCTTACAAACACTTGGATGGCACAAAAATTTGTTGACAGGACCACTCCCAACCTCTCTTGGGAAGCTTTTAGGATTATCGGTATTAAGTCTCCATTCAAATAGATTGTGAGGGGAGATACCATCTTCTTTAGGCAACTTCACTCAGTTAGGAAAACTCTATTTATTCAACAATGGTTTTCAAGGAACCATTCCTCCGAGTCTTGGTAACTGCAGTTACATGGTACATTTATCGATTGGGCATAATAAGTTGAATGGGACTATTCCTCAGGAGATTATGGGAATCCAGCCACTTATCTACTTAGGCGTATCAAATAATTCGTTGACCGGCTCTCTACCAAAGGATATTGGACGACTAGAAAATCTTGCTAGACTAGATGTTGCTCATAATAAATTTTCAGGGCAACTACCAGAGAGTTTGGGAAAGTGTCTCTCTATGGAAGAACTTTATATGCGAGGAAATTCTTTTGATGGAACCATTCCAGATATCAGTGGATTGATGGGTGTTAGAGAAGTGGATTTGTCGAGAAATCATCTCTCTGGAAGTATACCTGGATATTTTGCAAACTTTTCCAAGTTGAAGTATCTCAATCTGTCCTTCAACAATTTGGAGGGAAGGGTACCAACAGAAGGTAAATTTCAGAATGCTAGTATATTTTTAGTATTTGGAAACAAACATCTATGTGGAGGCATCAGGGAGTTGCAACTAAAGCCATGTTCTGCGCAAGAACCACCACCAATGGGGAAAATCATGGCTCTCTCTTAAAGAAAGTTGTTTAAGAGATCGGGGTCAGCATAGGGATAGCTTTGCTTTTGCTGTTTTGCATAGCTTCAGTACTTTCTCTGATTTGGTTT